GCATAAATGAGTCAATATTTGTAAAATTCTTAGAAAAGGCAGATGTGAAAGAAAAGACCCAAAGGAGGCCCTTTTCCAGAGGTTGCATGCACCTCCAAGTTAGGTTCCTTTTTTAAATGTAGATTCTTTCCCCAACGGGGTTTCTGTGTGTCCATCATATGTGTCACATACACAGACATTGCGTGATACAGTTATCCAGGTCATGAGATTATTTGAAATGCAAAAACAACTACATTTTGGGGCTTTTGTAATGTGCACTGTATATACAGTAGCTGAATTATAGATAATCTTGTATCAAATTGGCACATTTTAGCCATCATCAAGATATTAATAAGCATGAGAGTGAACCCTAAACTTCCAACTGGCTATCACCTGTGAACTCTGTCTTAGTTTCATTCTCTGTTCAGGATATCCTGTCTACTCTTAGGTACCCTCTGTTTGAATGGTTCTAGTGTGAGAATTTACAAAGATCTCCAAATTTCAGATCTTTCTGGTTTCTCTTTGCCTCCAACATCCTAAATATTTCCTCAAGAATATGTCTTCTCCAGGATGGAATGTAATATTTAAAAGTAATAATATTCCACAATGTACAAAATCTCCATTGTTCTCACAGCACCTTTATGGTGGTGTGGGTGTTCTCAGATATTCAAGGACTTCATTTGGGGACGAAGACTTGCTTTGGAGGCTTTAGAAGCTTTGCAAATTACCTGCTGAGAGATGCACTATTCACCTCTCTGGTAACTGTCAGTACTTTAGTTCCATTGCATTAGAGAAGTAATTCTCTACCCTTCAGACCTACCATCCCCCTTAAAATTCTGCAATAAAGTTTATAGATAGTAGTAATTACCTCTAGATACAATTTCCAAAATATCTATGTATTACCTTAACTGTAATATAAAGGAGAACCAAAAGGAAAGTAATTTATGATAGAATATGTATTTCACCGAGTAAACAACTGAGTGAAATCGGTGCCTGCTCCTGGGCAAAGAGTCACTGTGAACACAACAGCTACAAATGCGCACTGAATATGGATGTTGCATTTGTGAACCTAATACTGTGAATGGCTTGGTTTTGCTGAAATGGTGAGTGTAGCCAATAACATTCAAAGAAAGAGGAATTTGTTTCGTTGATTTTCCAATATATGACAAGGCTCTGCAAAATACCTTGTATTTACATGTCAAGCAGTGTTAGGTTCTAGCCTCAGGCAACAGCTCTTTGAAAGTCTGGCCAGATAAGGAACATTCTTTGTTTTGCAGGAATGTCCACCATCCCTGGCCCCCAATCAACGTGACAACCAAAAAACAAATTCCCAAAACTCTCCCCAGGAGGTGGTACTGCTGCCTTGAGGACTGCTGTAATAAAAGAGAGAAGTGCCCTGATGATGGATTAGCATAGGATCTGGGCTGCAAGAATGTAGGCCAGCCAGCCCAGCAGAAAAGCCAGTTCCCATAAAGTATGCACCTGGATTTTACTGCAAGGTTCTAAATAAATTAGAAATTCTGACTCCTCAGTCAACCCAGTGGTAGGGCTCTTTTGTTCCGTTTCCAGCTGAAAGGCATGATCTTGGCAAAGCTGGACACTGACAGCATCACCACGTTGCTCTTGAGGTTCTCCGTGCATGGCTTCTTGGTGAATGTCCTATGTGGTTCATCTCCACATCTGGGAGGTTTCCAGTTATAAGAAAGGAAAAGCTTGTAAAACCATATCACCCCCTCACCCAGTGGATCTCAGATCCTGTTGTGAGCTTGTGGCTGCCATGCCCATGGCCTCATTTTACTTTCTGATCCCCAAGTCAGCTCATCAGCTAGAGTACCTGCTCATTTCCTTTTTTTTAGGCTTAGCATATTACCCAGTCACCTCCCTGTATTTATTGAATTCTCTTCTCACCATGTCCTCTGTAAAACAACAAACAGACCAAAAAATAAATAAAATTAAAAAATCTGCCTGGTATCTCTTCTGGCTTTGCACACGTCTCTTCCACTGCCTCTTTTTATTTTCTCCACATATAAAGTTGGTGGTGTGCTCAAATTGCAAATTAGTTGTCTTTTTCCTGCTGGTTTGTTTTCTTTGCTCTCAACACTAGACACAGGTGACATTTGCACTTTCACTGTCTTTCAGATAGGGAGAGTTGAGCTGAACCAAAGCATCAACACCAATCAGGCTGTTTCTGAAGAGCTACACTTTTCAGGGCCAGCAATGGAAAGTCCCAGAGGGAATACCACCCAAGGTCCTAGGGATGAAGAGGTCTGTGACAGTGAGGGCCAGCTGTCAAGGCAGACAGCATGTCCTGCACGGAAGAACTCTTCTGAGAAAACAGCCATCAGGAGAGTGTCAATGACTCTCAAAGAGATTGTCACTGAGGAGAGAGGCCCAGAATCCAGTGAACTTAGTCTAAGCTCAAAACTTAACACACAGCGAAAAACTCCAAAGGGTGCCAGATTCCCCATATCTAGGAAAAACTCCAAAGATAATTCAGGTTTAATTAAACACAAACTCTTTCCACAAAAGAAACCTTGTAAATACAGTGAGTGTGGGAAAGCCTTCAGTTATAAATCACACCTTTTTATCCACAGTAGAATTCATGGTGGAGAAAAACCTTTTGAATGCAATCAATGTGGGAAAACTTTTAGCTGAAGTACACACCTGATTAAGCATCAAAGAACTCACATGGGAGAGAAACCTTATGAATGCAGTGAGTGTGGGAAAGCTTTCAGCCGGAGTACCCACCTTGGTCTACATCAGAGGATCCACACTGGAGAAAAACCGTATGAATGCAGTGAATGTGGAAAAGCCTTCAGCCGAAGCACTAACCTTAGTCATCATCAGCAAACTCACATTCAAGAAAAACCTTACAAATGTAATGAATGTGGGAAAGCCTTCAGCGACCGTTCAACCGTAATTCAGCATCAACAAATACACGCGGGAGAGAACCCCTATGAGTGCAGTGAATGTGGAAAAACTTTCATCTGGGTCTCATCCCTCATTGAACATCAGAGAACACACACTGGAGAGAACCCCTATGAATGCAGGGACTGTGGGAATCAGGGACTGTTCAGTCGAGGCTCATCCCTCACTGAACATCAGAGTCCACACTGGGGAAAAGCCGCATGAGTGCAGATTGTGTGGAAAGGGCTTCAGTCGGAGCTCATCCCTTGCTATTCACCAGAGAAGTCACACTGGAGAGAAGCCTTACAAGTGTAATGACTGTGGGACAGCCTTCAGTCAGAGCTCAACGCTCATCAGACATCAGCAGCTTCATGTTAAACAGTGACATCTAGGCTTTCATGAATGTTAGCCGAAGAGCATATTGCATACCCTCCTGCAACTGAAAAGAAAAGTAAATGTGTTTGAATTCTCCTTCTTCCTAGCTAGCTATAAGCTGGTTTCAACTAGCCTTCCTATTTGTAAACTAAATGCTGAAATGAGTGATCCATTCAACGAGATGACTTCAAACTCCTAGCATCAATCTAATACTCTTGAAAACTCCAACTTTAGAGTATACAGCTACCTGACACCTTGCATTTCCTTACCTTCTCTGAGCAGCCAGTGAACCCCCTGTTTTCCAACCACATCAGCCCCTTCACTTAAAGAGGAAGTCCTCTCTGTGTGTATATATTCATGGTTGCTGATGCCAGTCACAGAAGAGGAGGAGCTGGCTTCAGACCGAAAATAAACACTTCCCACCAGTTTGGGGTTAATACTGTTGAGTCAAATTCAGTCTCTGGACTTATAAGGACAGATTTTTCTTTCTTCCTCACATTTTTGCTGTCTCATATTTCTGTCAAAGTATAACCCATAGTACTAATGTGCCTAATTAATCCTAGTGTTATTTTATCTCATCATTACCAAGACTGTCCTAAAACTTTTACAGACATTTAGTTCCTTGGAAATATATTGCTTCCCCAATTTTAAAATTTTTGTTTACAGACTTCATGAAACTGATTCGCTTTGGCTCTGACTCTCATCAATCTTAATTTAATTTTTTAAAATATGTCTTTATTGATTTCAGAGAGAGGAGGGGAGAGAGAGAGATAGAAACATCAATGATGAGAGTCATTGATCGGCTGCCTCTTGCACACCCCTGATTGGAGACCTGGGCATGCGCCCTGACTGAGAATCGAACCTCAATCTCCTGGGTCCTAGGTCGATGCTCAACTGCTGAGCAATGCTGGCCGGGCTCTGCCAATCTTTTAACACTGATCTCTTAGACATACTCAGTGTCTGTTTGTCTCTCCTTTTCCTACTTGACATTTGTAGAATTGGCTCTTTGGGCCACTCTTATGCCTTCAAAGTTGAGTTTGTGGGTTCCATGAGTCTGTACTGATCCACACTTTTCCTACCTCCCAGCATTTCTCTGATTAACAATGACTAGCTCTGTGACTTTGGGCAAGAATTGGACAAGAATAACCTCATTCTAGTGGGTTATGAGGTTATTCAATTGGATTGTAAGCTTCTTGAAGACAGAAGTCTTGTTTAGATCCCTATGACACAGTGATCCTCAGCCGGTGTGTGGTGGCACACTGGTGTGCTGCAAGAATTTTTATTTTTTCATTTATTTTTGCAGTGTAAGATTTTTATATTTAGAATTAGCCAGCTGGACTCAGTTTAGAGGATCCCAAATTTGTTGGCAACATCCAAAGCATCATAGTCAGGAGCCAGTCGAACATATGCCTTCTTCTCTCCATCAGGCCTGATCAGGGTGTTGACCTTGGCCACATCAATGTCCTAGAGCTTCTTCACAGCCTGTTTGACCTGGTGCTTGTTGGCCTTGACATCCACAATAACACAGGTGTATTGTTGTCTTCTATCTTCTTCATGGCTGACTCGGTAGTCAGGGGGAATTTGATGATGGCATAGTGGTCAAGCTTGTTTCTCCTGGGTGTGCTCTTCCGAGGATATTTAGGCTGCCTTCAGAGCCTCAGTGTCTTCAGCGGTGGGAAGGTGGGTGACGTGCGGATCTTTTTTTTATGTCTGTGGACGCCTTTCAGCACTGCTTCCTTTGCCTTCAAAGCCTTTGCTTTAGCTTCGGCTTTGGGAGGGGCAGGGGCTTCCTTCTTTGCTTTTGGCACCATCTTTGTAAAAAGCTGCAAGAATTTTTATACGTGCAGTACCTGACTGTTTACTCAGGCGAACTGACCTCTTTTCCCTTAGATTGTCAAATTAAAAAGTGACAACAGCCAAGCACAACAGTAGCTGTCTGATGTGAACGAATGAGAATTATACCTTTTTTTTTGTTGTTAGATCGGCAAAAAATATGTTTTTGGTGTGCTGCAGAATTTTAGTAATTAGTTTATGTGCCACGAGATGAAAAAATGCTGCACATCACGCTATAAAACATCACAAACTGCTGCAAAGTGACTGGATGCCCTGTAACCACTGCTCACTGGCTCCTTATCCCAGATAATCGGCCCACTCGATTTTTCGAAACAACTTCATAGTTGATTTCTGTTTCTACTGCTGCTGCCCTGCTCCTAGTTTGGGCTTAGATGACTAGAGTAGACACACTGTTGATGCCCGTGTCTGCCTGTCTTTAGCTGCCTGACTAAACCACCACTTTGTTCGGATTCCCTACGAAAGATTCCACAGGAAAATTCAGACTGTTTAACTTCAAGGCCTGCACGGTTGGCTCTGCCTGGTCACCTGCCATTACTCCCCAGCACACGAGGGCGGGCCAGTGCTCGCCGGGCGGCACCCTCTTCTCCCGGGGGCTTCCCCGGGGCTGCTGCCCAGCGCCCCTCCCGCGTCCCCCCTGCCGCTTTCTCGGGAGCCCTGTCCACACTTACAAGCCCGCCCGCCCGGCCGCGTTCGGCCGCCCGCCTCGGGAGCCCTGGGCAGCGGTGGTTTCCATCTTCTGATCTGCGCATTTTCTCACTCTTCTCTGGTTCTTTCAGGTGCTTCTTCCGTAATCTTGAAGTGAGAATTGTCTTACATCTCGCAGGGGCCCAGTGCAGGCCTGGACTCTGTTTCAGCCCAAACCGGGAGGGTTTCATTGAAGGGGGATCCCTGCAGTCTCCTGAATGTCCACGCAGCCTCGCCCACGCCGCCCTTTCGCCCCGCGCGAGTTCTGTGTGCGTGTCTGGGACCCTCCTTCCCGCTCCGGCGCAGGTCGCCGGCCTCCCCGGCGCGAGACGCGACTTACTCGGGTAAAGGGATCAGGGCGGCGCCTGGTGTTAGTAAGCGCCCGACACGCGAGTCTCTGCCCTGCCTCCCGTCTGCCTGGAGCCTTTCACTTCGCGCGGGCAGGGTCTGGAGCTCCTGACCGGACGTGGAGAACCCGGGCCACAACCGAGGAAGTTAAAAGGCGTTTCCCCAACCGCCGAAACCGGCAACAGCATCCACCTCATTGTGACTCCCCGCGCGTCCAAAACGACTGGAGACGGTACCGGAGGCGGCCAGGCGACGGGCTGGGACCGGCCGCCCGCACCGCCCGGAGCGGCGACTGCACGGGGCAGCT